CTTTCCCTGTTGTAGTACTAGGAAGGAGATGAATTCAAGGCAACCCTCCAATACTTAGATTCTATACCTGGAAAATTATAACAATTTTTAAATTTTTCCATGTGTAGAATCTAATTATTAGGGGGTATCATAAATTCTGGGTCATCTTAGATTTAAGTAAATACATTTAATGTCTTAAATCACTGTAAGTGATATTTTAGATATTGTGGGCAGACACCATTGGTACTCCTTGAAAATAAGGACTAAGACCTTGAACTTTGTTTGAAATTCTTTGGAAAGTCAGTGTAAAAAGGAGAGGGCAAATATAAAGTGTTCAGGTTTGCCAGAGTTTCTGGGGAGAAAAACTGCAGTATTTTGTACCGTTTGGCATTTTCTAAGTTCTAAATGCTTCATACCCTGGCATAATGGGAGATGTGATGAAGACATGTATAACTTGGGCTAGACTAGAGTATCTGGAGACGATAGAAAACATTAATCATGGATGCTGCTATATGAGATCTAAGCCTGAGCAAGGAATTCAAGGTCACTCCTAAATTATGGACTGACTAGAGAAATTGTGGGTCTTTGTTTTCATCCAAAGGATATTGTACTGTGGCTGTACCATGGCTGGCTTTAAATGCATCATACAATTTCTCAGTTTAGAGGTTAACATTATTATAACACATGAGTGGCAGAACTGTAAGTACATTTTGACAAGGGTATTCAGATGCCCATTTGGCACTTTCATGTGTCATCACCCATTTGTTCCAATGTATAAAAAGTATTAACCACATATTTAACCTCCACTTATGCCATTGTAACCCCACTGAAGTAAATGCATTAGCACAGGTGTAACTCAGATCAAAATTATGGTATGGTATGAATCACGGTAAGAACTGAAAGTTCCTTTATTATTGAACAGTTATAGTACTACATTATGACAGGTACTTGAGAAAAAAAAACTTGATGGGTTTTTTTTAAATAACCAACAGTGTAATATAAAATGCTCCAAGCTACATGCCAGTTGATCACACTTCTCAACCAAGACACAATTGTCTAATCTATAAACTCTAATTTATATATGTTTATTATAAAATCTAATAATATTATAATATCTGATAATTAGTTTTATTTTATTAATAGATTATACATGTATGATGTGCTATCATGGATTATCTCATTTAATAAATGATCCTCAACTAGTTATCATGGTACACAATGGCACTTATAGTATATAATACCTCTTAAAGAACCTCAGACTACTTTCTTTTTTGACTGTCAGAAAACAACATGTAAATAGAGAAAACTATGGACATATAATTTTATTCTACAAACAAAAACTCTCACTAACATTAATTGCTGTTTTGCCTGATGGTTCTCTGGAATTGGGAGCCAAGGAAATTAGGCCTACTGTAGAATAGTCAAATGGTATGGCGCACACACATACACGCACAAAATCTAATCATGATTTCTTTTGGCCTCATATTAATTAACTATTTTGAACACCTTTAAGATGAAATAGTAAAAGGATAGGTACAATAACAAGTATCACTGAACTGCAAGTTCTGAAGACATCACAGTAAAGCAAGGCAATAAAGCTCAAGCAGTTTCATGTCATACAAGCTTAGAGACAAATTTACAGTCTTGGTAAAAGTGTTATTTATTTAGTTGTGTAAATTTCTTGAGTCTGACAAATAATCTAAAATAAGAGGCTGCTGATGCAGGATAACTTTCTACAAGGCACTCTCCAGGATGCTGACTGCACCAGCTTTAAAGAAATCAGGTGATGAGCCTTATACTAATTCCTTCTAAAGATTATTGCACAGATAGATCTCACAGTTGAAAAATTTAGAAAATTGTTTATTATTTTTGCCTAAGGTTTCCTTCACTTACTTTCATTCTATTACTTCAATGCCAGGGATACGTCAAAAATCTGAGTTCTATTCCTGGCTTTTCTAAAGACTTAGTGAGTGACCTTGAACAAATCTCAAAATGCCTATATTTTTCCCAGCTGTAAAAGTGAAGATGGCTATTTTTAACTTCTTCACATTGATGCTGTAAGGCTTAATTCATTAATGTTTATAAAGGTATTTTAGATCTTTGGGTGGAAACTGCTACAGCAAGATAATAACTCTTTGTTATTCTTGTTAGTGTTCAGTATTATAACTTCTAATTGTACCCTCTTGGCCTACTGAAAGAATGCCATGTCCTTCTTCATGTTTATGCTCTTAAGGAACTTACAGGTGGTTAAAGCTATAAATATTTAGTTCCTTGAATCTTTCTTCTTAAGTCAGTCACTCCATCCCTCTACATTCTTTCCACCTCCCTGCCTTTATTAGGAATCTGAGAGCAATACAATGCAAGAATTTGGAGATTTACCTTTAATACATATATGAAAAAATGTTCCATCTTTATAGTCACACTTTATTCAGCCATGCATTTCAGACTTAACAAATCTACCTTTAGCTGTCCAGTCAGGTTATAATTCAGTTGGAATAAAGGATTCACTATCGCTCTATGGTAATCAATGATTTAATTCCACCCCTACTTTTCTACAAGGGAGACTTCAAGTCTTGCTGTTGACCTTACAAAATTCTGCAGTGGATGCCATTGCCTACCCAACCTGCTGATTCTGAACGTCACTTTCAAGCCTAAAGAAAGCTAAAAAAACCCAGAAGATTTCATCACACACAGGGAGAGAAAGATAGTTTTGTGTTTCCTTTACAAAGATATTGGAAGTTGCAGTTATTTGATGAAACCAAAACTTGAACACCTTTTGTAATTCTAAGGACAGAGCGTTAAAAGCCAATGGGCCAGGAATTTTTTGGCTAAGAAGCAGTGTAACAAAACTGATGCTCTGGCACCAGCATACAAAGGGGAGGAGTGACTGATGGAGACCTATTGATGTCTAACAGTTGCCTAAAAATAGGTTTGTTTTGTTTTACTTCCACTGCAGGAATTGCCTATATACAGTCAAAAGGAAGGCTATATCAAAATGTAAGATATATTAAGCTGTGGAGGATGCCAGGTAGATTACATTACTAAAGATTGTAAAAAAGAAAGAAAAAGCAATCTGGGTTAGAGGAGATTGGACATGGACATTCCCCCACATTTCAGTCTTATGATTGTCTAAGAATTGACTCATAGGAATTGAAGAGACCTAGAAGCTGAGCCCAAGACAAGGGCTAAAGACCGTTGTGAAAGAAAACAGACCCTGAGGGGAAAAGCTGTACTCGGCAAGAGTTTAGGGCATATGAGTGCTTTATATATTTCCTTTTAAACTTTAATTAACTCTGGCAGTAATGCACTTTTGTGACTTTGCTGTGACCTCAAAGCACTGAAAGCCTGGGGTTGACTATCTTGAGGAGAAACTGAAGGAACACAGCGAGAAAATGTGGAGCAGTAGATGGCTGTGGATGCACATACCATTAACGTGGAAAAGTTAAGCCCTAACCTTCCTTGCTGAAGAATATAGCAAAACTCCCACTAATTTAAAACAGAGCAGGAGCATGCCCTTAGCTATGCCATGAATATGGATCAAATGAACTGGACAGAAGCAAACAGCAGTATACCATCCACTTAGGCAAGCTTTTCAGCTAACAGATGATTCCAGTCTTGTCTAAAACAGGGGTTGACAACCTTTGGTACTGATTCTGTGTGCTTCTTCTTGCACACAATCCCCCTGCCTTGGGCTGCAAATCTCCACACTCTTGCCCCCACCTCCTCCCTCCCTCTCCTAGCAATCAGCAGATGCTTCAGTGGGAATAGCAGGTAGTAGGACCTTGGGGACACCTCCTCTAGTGGCCGGGCTGTAGCATGCTGCTAATTTCCCAAGCTGTCGCAGGCTGAATCCAGTTTTTTCACAGGCTGAATCTGGCCCGTGAACTAAAACTTGCCAACCCCGATCTAAACTACTGCAGTAGTGACCAGTTTTATACCAGCTCTATATTATTATTATCTTGATTATCTCTATATTCTTACCTGTTTTCTCATCAACTCAAGACATGCATTAACTTTCATTTTTAAACAGTTTTACAAAGCCTCTGTGCTAGAAGCACACTGTGCTAAAAGGTGTCCAATCCCCACTTCCTAGATCTGCCTACGGGTAGACAGGCAAAACTTATTGTGTAAATCTTTTGACAGTGACATCTCCTTGTGGTTTGGTTAGAGGATACCAACCTTATTCATTTGAAAAAAGTGCTCCATTAAGCTACACCAGTGGAGCTACACTAGCTTAAAGGAACATATTAAAGTGTGAGTATATTACAAATGCTGATTATAATAATTGACAAGACATAAATGATAATAATTAAATAGTTTTCTGTCTGTTCTGATATTGTGAACCGTAACTACTGAACATAGAGTTTGGAGAGGGCAAGAAATGGAAAACAAAGAGAAGAGAGAGACATGATTGTCTCCTTTTTACTGACTGCAGTGAAACAAATTAGACAGAGTTTGAAAATACAGAGATCATTTCAGCAGCTAGCCCTGATAAATGGAACTCAGAGTGGAAACCAATCAAAGATGACTGGCAATGTTTGAATTGCTAACCTTTATTTTGAAGTGTTAGGCTCCACTGAATTAGTGGGGGAGGGCACTTTAGATAAAATTGTCAGCGGCTTCACCGACTCACATTCACTTGGTGAGTTGATATATTACTAGGTACAGTAATTGTTTAGTGCTGCAAGTATGATTATTAACAACAGGAATATGAGACTGACCACACACAGATTAGCAACTCATTATTTATTCTGAAGTTGAGCAGAATAGAAAGCTAGACTACTTACTGTGTATTTCACTTTAGACCATTCTCATGTTGACTAGTAATTCTACTGCATAAAAATCTCAAAGCACAAGAAAAGTTAGGCTATAACTGATGTTTAAAACAAAAGCTCCTGTTCATGGCTGAAACAAAAAGCATAATAAAATGAAAAGTGATTCATACTCACTTTACAGTTAGGGCTGCCAGGCTCTGGAATGGGCTCCCAAGTGAGGTGGTGCTCTCTCCTACCTTGGGGGTCTTCAAGAGGAGGCTGGACAGATATTTGGCTGGGGTGATATGACCACGGCACCCATTCCTGCCCGGGGCAGAGGGTAGGATCTGATGATCTGTTTAGGTCCCTTCCAACCCTAAGCACTATGATACTATGAAACTATACTATTATAGATAAAATCCCACAGAGTCAATAGTTTCCTCCATAATTCAAAAAGACATCAACTGTCATGTACTTTACTGATTTTAGATCAAAATTTGCCTCACTCATGTCCAAAACTAGTCTTATTACACTGGAAACTGATTTTAGAAACAGTTGTAAAACTTCCAGAGTGGTACATTTGACCGGCATGATTAGAAATAGCAAACATTAAACAATCCAATGTAAGAAGTGTTGTATCATGTTCCTCTAGATTTTAAATTTCTAGATTTTTGAACCAGAAGATAAAATTTAATGGAAAATTATATCCCTATTGTGGTATTCTATAGCATGGTTCAGGAAATGAGAAAAATTAAAAATCTCAGCATCAATAAATTATTAAAATAATTGCTTAAAAAGCTATTAATTTGCAATGGAATCACAGGGTTTAATCCCTACCTAATTTGCTGAGACTTTTCTTTAAGGAGGAACAAAGCAATATATAATAGGTAATCCCCACATCATTTTATATTGCTTCTTCCATTATTGTCACCATGAACTTAATTTTTGCATCTTTGTAACATAGTTTAAAGATGAGTGCTGTTTTTTTGTGATTTTGCAGATTTAAAATATAGGTTATAATATGCCTTTAATATGCCAGACACGTACTTGTTGAAGGAGACATGAGCTGAATGATGGAGCAAAGGGCAAATACTGTAGAGAACAGATTGTTATAAGCATGGGTGGCTCGCTTTCCTCCTTAACATACTGGCCTGGGTAGATAGCAAAACTCCAGTGCATCTGGCTGCAGTAGGATGACACGGCTGGATAATAGCAGTTCCCAAAGCCAGCCTGTAAGCAATGTGGGATTAGACTACAGTAAAATGGTTAATAAGTCCTGTGACTATGGAATCTAAGACTTGACCTCTGTTTCCCATGCAAAGAACTGTAAATTAGAGCTCACATAAGGCTATGAATAGAATCTCTGAGCTAAGTCTGGAATAACTTCCTTTGTGCAGGTTGAGATGCCTGCTTCCTTGGAGATATGCAAGCATCTTTTTAATTCAGCTCAGAATATACCGTCTTGTGCAAAGACTTGTAGCTTGACTGCAGTGACAGGGAAAGAGTAGAAATAAAAAATAATCATCATAATGAAATACTTTGCTGACCATTTATAAGGCAACACTGGGTATAAATCTACTTAGGAATTATCAAGAAAGGGAAAGGGAGAATTGGCTTTAATGACAGTTAGGCTGACTCCCCTTAGGATGTTGCTGCCATTCAGAACAACTGCACCGATACCCAAAACATACACAACAATAATTGCAAGGAACTGAAGAAAATGTAAAATGTAATAGTCCCACTGAATATACATGAGAAATATATCTAAAATGTTATCTAAAATGAATAAAGTTTATATGGATGGGACAAAATAAACACTATGAATCATTATCTAAAACTCAAAAACAAATCAACCTGGACTGTTTTTAGTCAGAAGTTAAAAGTGTTGTAAAAGTCCAAAAGACTCTAAAGGGGAAAATGCATGAATTGTTCACTAATACATTATCCTATTTAGGTGGTATAATCCCAGAATAGATTTTTCATCCTGAGAGATTCAAAACTTCGCTGTTCTCTTCAACCCCTCTTCCTT